TTGTATGTATGGATCACTTGGGTTGTTACCGACATCTGGTGAAAATTTCATGTCATTAGCACCTCTAGTAATATATTTACTGAGAGAAATGGTGACGTGTTCAATACTTATTTTACCCACAGTACTCTAAAACTAACCTAAACCTTAGTTGTAAACCTAACCCCACACCTATAACTTGCATGTGGACCCGTGGGAACCTGGCATTGGTCCCCACGAGGCTGCCTTTTTTTGGTAAAATTGTCCCCACATTGTAAGAAAAACCCATCTATACACAATCTCCAACCACATACACAAATAATTTGTTTTTAAACTCATCTCAGTTTATTTCTCACCACAAAATGTTCTTTAACATTTGAACTAATTAAAGAAAACTGAAAAGATAGATTACAAGAAATTACAACCTCTTAAAAAACATCTTAACAGTAATTATTTAAGTGTAATGTTTTTTTTAACTTTGTGAAAATATTCAACATTGCTCCAATAAAACTTAAAAAAAGTATTTCTGTGCAAAGTGGGTTTTTAAACATGAACAACACCCTAAGAGGAAAAAAAAAAAGATTTATTGATTAAGAATAAATATTCATCAAAAACCTGTCCGAGCATTCCCCCCTCCACCTACCCTCCATTCAGTCAGGCCGCGCCCCACCTGCAATGGCAMGGCGCCCCCCCTAGGGGGCGGGCCCCACACTTTGGGAACCACTGCTTTAGCAGCTGATGTAAGCTCCTCAGTGGAATGAAGTGGAGCCTGAGGAGGAACTCGCTCAGACTCTTACTTCCCCCGGGGGCCGGGTGTCTTTCAGGCGCCGCTGAGCGGCTGCCGCTGTGATCCACTCATCAGTAAACTGAAGAACCAGCTGGAGGCCACCAAGGAGGAGATAAAGACCGAGATCCGCACCGTGCACGACCTGATGAACAGCAAGATAGGCCTGCTGGACCGCAAGAACAGGCAGCAGGTAAAACCCAGAAGCAGAGCTCCTGCAGACCCTGTGAGTCCTGCTGACTCAGGATGTCTGATTGTTTATTATCAAGAAATCAKAACTTGTGTCTGTGAATGAAACCTGAGTTTTCTGCTCACTTTAAAGTGAATTCATGTTCTGAGCAGCTTTTAGTGAAAACTATAATGTTTGACTCTCAGACTTTACACTCTAATTCACTCTAATTCACTCTAATTCAGAACATGACAACTGTGATGGTTTTTAGTTTATTATTCTTTCACTTTATTACATTTTTAAAAATTAGAACAAAAGGAAAACTTTCCATTTTGAAATGCTATTTGCTTCACCTGCTTTATTTTTTTAGCATTTAGCTACTGTTTGCAGGTTGTAGCTTTTAGCTACTGTTTGCAGGTTGTAGCTTTTAGCTACTGTTTTCAGGTCATAGCTTTTAGCCACTGTTTTCAGGTCATAGCTTTTAGCTACTGTTTGCAGGTCAATCTTTTAACTACTGTTTACAGCTCGTAGCTTTTAGCTACTGTTTGCAGATCATAACATTTAGCTACTGTTTGCAGGTCAATCTTTTAACTACTGATTACAGATCATAGTTTTTAGCTACTGTTTGCAGCTCGTAGCTTTTAGCTGTTTTGGTGATTGTTTCAGCTCTCAGCTGTATTGTTGCAGAAGAAGCTGGTTTCTGTAGTCTGATGTTTGTGTGGTGTGGTGACCCTCAGGTCAGAGTTCTTAATAAGATGATGAAGGAAAGAGTTTCGGCAGAGAAGAGCGAGTGTCTGCAGAGGATCGAACAACGAGCCCGACAGGAGCGGCTGGAGGCCGAGGACAGACAGGTAACAAATCCTGATCTGGATCAAAGAGTTTTACTAAATGACTTTTTCTTCTCAGGTTTAGTCTGAACAAAATGTGTGTAACTGAATGTTGTTTGGACAAATTATACAACTTGAAGTGAATTTGAACAAAAGGTAAGTAAATTAGTGTTCGAACAAATCTAACAAACACTAATTTTCTTACTTTTGGTGCTGAGTTTAGATTTACAGTCATGAGGAAAAGATGAGCAGCTGTTTGAAATCTTTCCACCTGAGAATAATCTCCTTGTTGAAAATTACTCCCTAAATAATTTATAAATAACCTTTGACCCCTCTCAGACAGTGGGCACACACCTGTAGCTCTACAGCAGGTGGTCCCAGCAGCTGTGTTTCCATTACAAATGTGCGCAAAACTTTGTCGATATTCTGAAAATGTTGAAAAAACACAGTTTCACAACTGTGGTGTTTCCATTAAGTAAGAAATGTTATTAAAGTCACATGAATACGTTTGTTC